CCTCCCCCCAATTAGAATAAGACAGTTATCTATCTCAGTTGTACGCTCCATAGATTAATATTCAGTTTGCTACTGAATAAAGATTAAATACATTTCTGTATTAAAAAAAAAAAATCACGAATCATAGCACAAACATTTTTTTCTTACTTTATTAGATACCAGATGTCATTAAAGGAAGGACACTACACTGCCTGCTTTTCATGCTGTTTAATTTATTTTCCTTGTAAATTTTTTAAATGTTTTTTTTATATGTCTGAAGGTATACTTTTTATATTTTGTTAAACACACTGCTAGGATAAAATTATTTTGTTTCAGTTAATTATTATTGCGTTTAAAATTCGGTGCTTTATAAAATATATATTTTTGTGTTTTGAATTTTATACATGCAGAAATATTGTGTGGGAGGGGGCTTAAATTCTGTCGCAATGTGATCGTTGCCTATATTTGGAACGGCATAACTATTTCAGAATATTATGTTCCTTGTGCAGCATACGCATGCTGGAAATAACCAGAAATATTGCAAACTATCATATTTCATAGGATTTAAAAAAAGATTTTTTTTTCTAAATTGAATTACAGAGCTAAGAAAATAAATTAAGGATGATCAAACTTTTTTTTTTTTTTTCCATGTCCTCCCCCCACCTTTTAAAAAAAAAATCAAATGTTTTCATTGCAAAATGTCAGTGGCGTTGACAGACGCAGGTAAAAGTGCCAAACATTTCGAAAGCATAACATTTACAAAGAAAAAATTCAATACGTCTGAATGACAACACATTTACACAACGCAACATCGATGTTGTGTCCTCATTTCGTTTTACCAATTTATTATTAAATATTTGTTTTAATAATTTAAACTGGAGCTCCCGTAACCTTTTAACTCCAGTTTCAGAAATGAAGAACCTAATCCAAGAGGTTGCATTTGCACTTTTTTGTTTATCCAAAATCAATGTGAAAGAAAAAAAAAAAAATCTTTCACAACTTTCTTTAAAATTTATTTTTACAGAGTAATATATGAATTAAAGAAGAAAAAACAAACAAACAGTCTTATCCTATTTTTCAACAGACACCTTAAAAGTCAGCGAAACCTCATTTAAAAATAATATAAAACATATTTCCTATATTATATTGTGGTCTGTCTTATTGCCTGTGAAATAGGATTGATAACAGAAATATTTTAAAAAAAAGTATATATGATTTCTTTTTTTTTGCTTGTGTGAGTGTGTGAAAAGTTGGTCTGCTATATGAAAGGAAGAATATGTTATTGAATAATGTACATATGTATTTGTTCATAAAACTATAAGAGATTCTAATGTAAAATTGTAAAGATTAAAAAAAAAAATGCTTGGAAAAGGTCAAGCTGTATTTTCCAGAAAAGTTGTAAATAATGGAATCAAAAAAAAAAAATCATTCCGCGTTGCTTTTCCCATCTGCAAATATATATATAATGGTTTGTTTTTTTTGTTTTGTTTTTTTCCTGTCGCACTGAAATGTTTACATATTACCCGAAGCAATGTTTGAACAACATCCCCATAATTTTGTCTTTAAACCACTGTGTATTTTTTTTCCCCCCCTTTTGTGGTTACGAACAAATTTGCCAAAAAAAAAAATGGTACAAGTTTCTTATCTTCTAATGAACAGGATTTGTGGATGTTATTTCTGTCTGATTTATCAGATAAAAAAGAAAAACCTGTCCAAAATTTGCATTCGCCTCTTTTACACCCCAAGTTGTGGACAAAAATAGTCTCGTGAAAACCATTGGGAAAAAAAGACAAAAATTGAAAGATTGACACTTTTGAAAAAAAAAAAATAATTAAAATGTGAATCATCGTTTTGTGAAAAAAAGATTTAAAAAAAACTCGTATGAAACAAATTCCAGACATCGGTCGGTGAAGTGATCAAGTTTTGCAGCTGTGAACAAATATTTTATTCCTTTTTGAAAATTAAAACAAAAAAAATGTTCCTGCCCTACTACACCTGTTGCCTGTGGAGGTTTCTATGCACACTTCTTCTTTCACCTCAGTGGTGCGCCATGTTTTATCCGTGTTCAATTGTATCGTCGTACAGCACGAAATGTTACGTATGCAAACGTGTCAACAGATGGGGGCCCCCCGAAGGGTCCCGCAGTGCGAAGTACAAACTGGTTATGCAGCACTGGGAAGAAAGTATTGACTTCAGTATTTCCAGTACAACCTTGTTACCCACGTCAACCGATTCCACATCTTTGTGTCTGAACATGTGATACTTATACCGTACCAGTGCAATTCACATCTATGATACCACCACCAGGCCTGAACCATAGCTTTCCCAAGCCCAGCACTATCAAGATGTCTTTTTATTAAAAAAATAAAATAAAAGGAAAAAAATATATACATATATACAGAAAATAAAAAATATGATGAATGAATGTTTGCTGTGTTTTATTATTATTTCAATGTTATTATTCCCTATGAGGCAGGAAAAGTACAATCCTGAAGAGCCAATAATTAGAAAATGTTTGTAAGATACAAAATACAAATAAGATACAAATGGAGCTTTGTTCAGCTGAGAATTTGTAACCTGCCCTTTTGAAGGCACAATTGTCGTGATCCGCTTCAGCTGCGGCGTCTCAGTATACTGCGAGCAGCAGCTACTGAGCTTAGGGTGACGGGAGGACACTAGTTTGTGTCCTCCCGTTACCCTAAGGAGAACTATGGGGAAAAGCCTTAACCCCATAGTTCTCCTTTAACCATGCTATTTCACTGCAGCACGGAAAAGTCCGATGACTTGCCTTGGCTGGGCTGTGTAGATCTTAGAACAGGATGGACATAAATACAAATCTTTTGGTAAAGGGGCTTCCACATATTTATTGTTTGGCTGACTGCCTGGGGTTCAGCTCTAACATGGCCGATACATCATTTTTCACGAGTGAATGTCAAATCTTTGGTATCATTTGGAATGATTATTTCGTATATGTGCATAGAATAAAAAAGAAATACTGATTATACTCTCTGGACTTCAGAGAAGACACATGAAGATGATTTACACGTGATAGGGCAGACCTTCAGTCAATACACATTATTTTCTACCCATGCTGGTAACCATGGTACTGTATGTTCCGTGATGGGAACCATTCTGGTGCCGATGTGTCCTTGATATTTCTACACTCATAACAAATCTTACTGAGCCTGCCCTTTATGTAACACTAACGGACGGCCTTGTGGAATACTTTGGAGTGAATGTTACCATACTAAGTCTTCTTCACCTCAGGCCACATCAAAGATGGCTTCTTCATTGAAGAGGTCTCGTCTTCAGTGGTGTTAAATGTACCGGTGTGGGCCAAACACGATCTGTTAAAAAATATATATATATATTTATATATATCACACACACAGTACATGATTATAAAGTTACTAATTACCCCTATTAATGATCTTGATTAGTTCTACATAGGGCAGCCATCTTTTTAGCCACGCATCTTAGTAGACATGTCAGCTACAGAAAAATTTGGTTCACTTTTTTCGTTATTTTAGGATTCGGTTCAGATTCGGATGAAATCCGGATTTCG